TCGTAGAACGTGTTGCTGCCTTTGATACATTAATATCTCTCCCTAGGAAATCGTTCCTTTTCGGACTGCTTTTGAAGGTAGCTCATATGAGTGAATATATAGCACGAACTCAATACAATATACCATAATTTAAGTTTTACGATATGCACTTTTAGCGTGTGAAAATATAAACGAATGACAGGAACAAACAAGGGTCGGTAAAATTTAAACCAGAACCTCTGTTTTCTATACTATAGCTTTACTCACTAAAATCAGCGCTTTTTCTATTTGAAAATGGTTTTTGGAACTATGTTAGTGTACAAATTTGAATCCACTTGCATTCAATTCTTACTCACATTTACAGCATTTAAATTTTTACTTTGCAGTAAAGAAGTACATAAATATTTTGCGTGAAAAACATATGTGTTAGTGAATCTAATTTAGCTGGCTTAGTGGCCAATCATTAGAGCACTCTGGAACTAGCTCATTTAAGTATGCACTTTTCTTGTTAAATATAAAATTGAATATATCTGGTACGTATAGATGAGATGTCTACTTCAGAATCCAAAATTTAATCCTCTCTTACACATCCCAGGATGTTAGACTCTATTTGTAAATTCCATCTCTCTATGACATCACTAGCTGTAACCCGCGAGGCTTTGCCCCGTTTAATTTCTTGATTTTCAAGATTATCTCGTTCGCATGGCTCAATCACGTCCTGGTTGAAGTTTGTTCGCTACGCTCACTCACCTTTAGTTTGGAGCTCGTTCGCTGTGCTCACTTGCCTTCAGGTTAGCTCGTTCACTACGCTCACTCGCCTCCAAGTTAAAGTTCGTTCGCTACGTTCACTCACCTTTTGGTTGCAGATTAGCTGTTGTCATTAATGTAAAAGAAATAATAGTGCTGCACCCTGTTGGTAATCCTTGTAACTTTAATGCTATTGAACATCATAGAACAGAACCAACTTGTTTAATTGAAACAGCTGTTAAGATTCAATAATTACATTTCTCATAAGGTTAACATGGGAAACTCCAGAGCCACTGGGGCGGAGCCCGAAAGGATTTTTGAAATAAGAATATGCCTATATGTTAATCGGGAATGTGAGCTATCATCATGCCAAATTTCAGCCCAATCCGACCAGTATTTTTCGCGTTCACTTGTCACAAACATACATCCAAACTTTCTCATTTATAATATTAGTAGGATTATACACGTTTAAATACAGTTAAAATTTTGAACACCCATATACAAAGAATTTCTCGAATATTACGAAGTCTACAATGCGTTTATTCACGGTATTTCACATTAGGAAGTTAACGGGGACGCAGCCCCATTATCATACGATGGTTTGTGAGAAGGGGACGTTAAGGTGGTAATAATTTTCACAAACCCCAGGTTCAGGATTACCCAGGACTCGAGGCGTTTATCTTGGGAGGAAAGAAGAATTGTGAGAGATAAGAGAACCGGGGTTTTGTTTCCTGGTAATAAATACTTGGTAGCTGCAAAAGAACTTCCTAGGCATTCATCATTTCGTACGTTTTTAATGTGAAGTTTGCAGGATAATCTTGCATCCAGTTTGTGGTTGTTGTAGGTTCTTAAAGCAAGATAGGGCTTGTATATATTCTGAAGAAAATCTACGAACTTAATTAGAACTAATTAAAATAAATTTATAATAATGTTTTGTGGTGTGTGATTATTAATTGATTAAATCTGTATACTTAACAAAATTGTCTGGCCTGGTTGATAGTAAAAATAGGCTTTTGTAAAACAAACTGTGATCTTACTGTATATCAATTACCTTACATACATTTACATAGCTGTTTGAATTTTCTATTTTGAAACAAACTGCACTTTAGTCTAATGAATTTTCTAACTATTATTTTTATAATAATTATTTAGGTTGTTTTAGCGAATTTCCCTATAGGGAAGTAGCTATTACCGTAGGTCTCATGGTAAGACTTAGGCCCGGGACCGATTTACTTTTTCATTTTGATGTCCCCAGAGGCCAAAAACACCACTCGTTCAAATTTTTATATATGTATATATATATATATATATATATATATATATATATATATATATGTGTCCGTGAACACGATAACTTGAGTAATTTTCATCCGATTTTGATGAAATTTGGTTTGAAGGTGTAAGGCAGGATAAACTTGAATGAGTTCGCGATCCAGCATGATCGGACCATGGGAACAGGGTTTTATGGGGAGTTTTATGGGGTAAAAATTGGTTTTTCTCACTTTTGACCCTCAAAACACAAAATTTCCCAATTTTTCTCTAAACCTTCTTAAAGAGCTTAAAAAAACAAACAATTCAGTATATCAAAGTGTTTTTGTACGGTTATTGGTTACGGAGAAAACTAAAAAAATGGTAAATTTAAAACTCCCATGTTATTCTTATGTAGAATATTGTAAAATGTTGTAGTTTGCTTGTTTATGGATATCTTTTGATCAAACTTGGCAAATATATTCATTTTATACTAAGCAATAATTATTTTACTTAAAACACACACTTTATTAGTTTCCTTGTAGCAGCAAACCTAGGTACTCGTTAAACCTAATGTTATTTAAATAGATAAATTGAAAATCAATTCAGCCAAATGGAAATTCGCTTAGGCGTCAGGTTTGCTGTGGCGGGGGTATTTATTTTTAGAATATTTAATTAAGTTCTTAAGGTTTATTTATGATAAATTACATATTGGAATGTTCAAAATTGGTACAACAAATCAGGAAAATTATCTCTTGGTTGTTACTATTTCTAATTATTTCCATAAAACCTAGTATAGGACTATCTAAACAAATTAAAACAATGGTTACATACAATATAACAAAACTAATTAATTTTGTAAATGCAAGTATTTACTGTTTTATTTAGGACAAGTGGCAAGTAGTTTGCAATGTCATAGTTCTTAAAATTTTAATTTTTAGTTTTGTTCTGGTACCGTGGGATATAGTGTTTCCTTTGGCTGTTGAAAGAAGTAGGGGTCCCGTTTCCATATTTAAGTCGTTGCAAGAAAAACTTAGTTCCATTGCTCCTCAGACAGAGTGTGCTATTAGCAAATTTTTCTCATTAAATCCACTTTTATTATTATTTGAATATATGGTCCCGAATAATGAAACAGCTGATCTTAGTCAAAGCTACACATACCATCACGCCGTTCTATCCTCATCTTCCACTCTTTTAGGGGTAAAATACGCATCTAGGTGGCGTCCTCATCTCAATGGTTGATAATTATTGAATAAAAAATAACCAAGACAAACTGATAGCACAAGTTATTCTCAACTAAAGCATCGTTTTACAGAAACTAACAAGGTATAAAAACTCCGTTATTGAATAATAGCTTTATTATGTTTCCTAAGACCAGAATTAATAGAACCAAATTTTTTTAAATCCTTCAAAAAAGGCAAAATTGCCAATCACGTTGTATCACATAAAATAAAATTAACTGTTTTGCAAAGTGCCTTTAAGTAACATTAGATAAAAATGTATTGTATACAATTAAAGCTAGATTATTATTTGTAACTAAAATAGTTCATCGAGTAACTCAGCCATACCTAAACACTCCTCGAGTCTAAAAAGTACTCGACTCGACTGCCACTTAAAACTGAGAAACCTTTCAGAACTCCGGCAATCAGTCTCATTAGACCCAAGTGTTTAGCAAGCTCTTGAGGAAATCTCTTCAATTCTTTATTTCTCCTCTTGCAAAGTGTAATATTTAACGAGCGATTGTTTGTCAAGTGGCCTTCAAAGTTTTATTAATCAAGGAACTCTCGACTTTTCGTTAAATTTTGTTTTTAAGATTTTTAATTATAGCTTCAAATTAATTTAATTATATTTTACTTTTCACTTTGGATACTCGAATTAGACTGTATTTATTACCTTCAAAGGGTTTAATGGTTGTTTTAGGTTCAGTAACTATTTTACTAGCGTAGACTAAGCTTTTTTCCTCTATTTATTTGACTTTCATTCCCAAAGTGTTTTCCACACTTTCAAGTCATGATAAGAGAGGACAAGCTTTAGTTACAAATACATCACTGTTTTATCTACAAATGTTTTTTTATCGAATTAGCTCATTGTTTTTTTTCTTTTATCAATGTTTGTGGTGTTATTGAATCTAAAATTACAATAGATTGCATGATTTATTCATACTTACAAGGTGCTTTAACTATTGGCAATAGCTCGAATGATGTTATTCGAATAAAAAAAAAAAACTAACTTAAGAAACTGAACTACTTTAATAACTTTAACAACTAACTTTAATACCTAATTGTTTAACGAAACTGCGTTGCGTTGTGTTTTTTACATAGCTGTAAATTTTGTTTCCAAATCACTGTCAAATTATTTTCGAATGGTTCTTCAAACAGCACAAGGTCCGGATAAATGAGGACTGCACAAATACGTCGCTGGACCTGTTTACTACAGTTTATACACCACACGGTACAGTACGGTGCTATTAGAGCTAAACCTCAAAATCCAAAGTGAAATTGGCTCGTTATTGTGTCCAAACAGTTCATTATAGTCCCCGTACTGTATGATAAGAAGGTAGACCATTTTGAGTGATAGTTCTGGGGGGGGGGGTGGAAGTTTAATAATTGGTATGGTTTTTATAAAACATTTCGAACACTATGTCGTATGTCAATGTGAGTTACACAATATATTCATGGGACGCCATACATTGATAGATGTGAAACGATGTTTTAGAAGTATTAAATTGGTGTAAATACCTGCTTCGTATTATTCCTAATTGTTGCTAGTGTTGCGACTAGTTTCGACTTTCTAAAAAGTCATCTTCAGGCGTCAAGGATTTCAAAGGGTGGTGACTTCATATGAAGGTCGTCATTACACATAAAGTACATAAAAACACGAACACGGACATTAAAACGTAAAACGGCGCGGTATTGTAAAAAATTAGGAAAATTATGTTCGTTTTAGAAGTGTACTTTCAATGTTCAGTTTCAATAATGGGTTTATTTTTCACTTTTACTATTGATACATTTTACATTTTGTTTCAGGCCAATACCGATCGCCGCGTATCACAGAGCACCCGTCCGACGTTGTGGTGCCTCGGAACGAACCCGTTACCCTCAACTGCAAGGCCGAGGGTCGACCTGAGCCAAGGGTCACGTGGTACAAGGACGGAGCACCCGTGGACGAGGCTAAGAGCCACCGGGTCATCCTGCCTGCAGGCTCGCTGTTCTTCCTGCGGGTCCTGCACGGCAAGAAGGACTCGGACAGCGGTGTGTACTGGTGTGTGGCGACCAACGTGGCGGGGACTGTGGCCAGCAGGAACGCTTCTCTACAAGTAGCAGGTCAGTTGATTGTGTGAATATTGTTTGGTTTTCTTGTTTTATTAGGGAAGTAAGATTTGGGATGTTAGATGACAGTATATAGTTAAAATTTCAAGCTGTGAACAAACAAAAATGGGATCTCATTTCAATGAATCTTCAGCATGAGGATGAACCAGCTTGTTGAGTACTGTTTACATTCTCAGACCTACGTATTATACGTGTAAAATCCATTTAAGTCCAGAAATTAAGGGGAAGACAAGAAGGCCATCGCCAACAGGATTTTCCAGTTAAAGTGTATAGGGCCACCTTTATGTTCATATGACACTGATTTTACAAATATTTTACCTGTGATATGTCGATTCTAAAAGATAGTTTAACTATAACTGTTCATCTTTCGAATACATTTACATATTTATTTGTTTGTTTATGTTTCGAACTCTTTGGTTATTACAACTCCTTGTTATTTCTAAGGTCTTTGATTTTTGTGTCCCTGACGCAGTAACTTAATCTTAAATCCTCTTAAGTCAAGGGCTTAAAAATAATTAACAAAAGTAAGTAAAAACTTAACCTATAAACTTAATTAAATTGCATTATTTGATATTTCCAACGTTAAAACATCAATTAAGTAAAAAAGTAATTAAACCGTCATATATTTCGATTGGAGTTAATAAGTAAATAACATCAATATTCCTACAATTGCTAGCAATGTATAATATTTTATAGAGTGATTTCCTCTTAGAATTGTGAAGTGGATAAAGTGTTAAGATGCCCAATTTTGGAGAGAGTCTGCTGTTTTATTAGACTGCATAAGGAAATAGAATAATGACTTGGAAATTACTCGGAAGTGAGTTCAATTATTTTGCGTGAAACTCAATTTTGAATAATGAACAGACGGCTTTGCGGTTCTAAGCTAATTTTGTGTCAATTTTTTATATTTCACAAAAATATTTATAAACTATATTTTCAAATATTTTCATTTTCTATATTTTTTAAATTTAAAATTTACATATGTGTAAGGTTGGCACTAACATTTTTTTGATATTCAGCAGCTGATGAGTATAGGCAAGAGTCTGCGAAGTCACTCATTTCGCCTATTTATTAATTTATATAAAGCGACGGAACAACTTTTAGATAAGCATTCAAACATTTTTTTTTACTTAATGGCGTCTCTCATTGGATCCATCCAAGACTCCATCGAATAAATGTTGTAGGGTTCATGTACTATACAGTAATAAACCAAAGTAATACATTTTACTAGGGGGCCCGGGGCTCGAACCAACAACACCGCTGCAATGGTTGTCGCTCAAGCTTTCGACTTAGTCACGCCCTCATCATTATATACACATTTCCACTGAGTTGTTGAAAATAATATCGATTACCCATATACTTTATTCAATCCTAATTCCTTATCTAATCCATGTCCCTAAAACAATTCACATTCAATTTTTAGTAATAATAACCTAGGTATAGTCTATATGATGAAACCTTTCTCATAAACCTCGTCTACCTGGGGACTGGCCAATAGCTTAAGGTCCGTGACAGTCTCAGATAGACGGAATTTTCCATGATACAGACTTAGAACTGTGCCGTACAGACTCCATGGTACAGTTTTTATCTCTAATGATTCTATTTCCTTTTCTTTTCCCAAAATGAGAGACTAAAAACGGCTTCAACCCCTTTTTACTCCAAGGATTGCTTAATGTCTTCTGGATTTTTAAAATATGCTAGTATTTTTTATTCTGTTTCAAAATCACTGTGAAATGAAATATGAGATAGGGGCTACGGGGGAATTAATCTTCACAAAAAATAAATGATTGTGTGATCCCTTTCCTTAAGTGGACTATTTAAGATAATAACTATTCTAAAACCATTTTTTTTACTGTTACCATACAAATTTGAGTATTATTTTTCCTCAATTTGATATAAAAATGTTTCTTTGCTGCAAAATTATTCTTGAATCTTAATTCATAATCATTATATTTCTATATAGAGATATATCTCACGTATTAACCCTCTTAAAAAAATTAATGTTTTACAATGTTACCTTTTTTCAGGTAAGGGTTTTACAAATAAGAGATGTATTTTAATTTCCCATTAGGCACAGGGGTGAGCTTGATAAATCACTCTGATGGATTTTCCTGATTGTGTGTCCACAGTTGATGTATGATGTGACGCGATCACAACTGATTCCGCTGTATGAGTTTATAGAATATACATACAAAATTTTTGAATTAGTAAATAATTTTAAAATACTTAATAAATGGCTTAACGTAGCTTAGAAATCACTAAATGTTTTTAGTATTAGTTTCATCGTAAGTATTTAAATGTTGGCAGAAGATAAACTTCTAGTTGGTTGAGGCTTGTCTAGTTATAGTAATTTTGCTAAAACTAGGTCAATGGTAGCTTCGAATTATTGAGTTATGGTAACACCACTTTGCTAAAAGCCTTTATTGATTGGATTTGAATCATGATTCCCAGATAGAATGCTGTGGTCTAATTGCTGAACTCTACGAGCTCTAATATGATTGTCGAAGGGACTAATGCTCAAATTTTGCATTTTAATTTCAAAACTGGTTCTCTAAGTAAAACGAGCAATTATATGCATTTTACCTAGTGAACATTATGTTTGTTTAAGACAGTCATTGGGTGAATAAAAATACTAATTTACAATTAATTACAATTTTTTACTGTAGATTTGCGCCATAGAGGGATTTACCTACCTCATTCGGGTTATAGATAAATAGCTACAGCTGAGTAGCTAGTGGTTATAGGACTCACCTGTAATCAAAAGGTAAATAATCAAAGGTTGCCGTTCGATCCATAGAAAAGTTAGTAGTGAGATTCTAATAGATGATGACTATTGAATCAGCTGATTTTCGTCAGTGACGAAGCTGCACGAGGGATTTAAGCTTTTACACTCATACTCTAGTTAAAATACGTAGACTTACTTCTATAAATCTATCAACGTGACGTTCCCATCTCTATCTTATATACAAAACCAATCATTAAAACTACACTCATACCAATACCAGGCCAATGGAGTTAAGTAAAATTAGACAAATAATGGCATAAATGAAAATATTATTAATATGTATGCATATATCAAGATAATTAAAGAAAACTCCAACAGTTAAATCATTACTAATCGAACGAATTTAGATTATTCCATATTTATTATTCCTTGTTCTATTTGTATTTTCGAATACTTAAACAATTTTACGCATGTATAAAAAGGGACACTAAATTATATTTTGAATGGTATACAAAATTCAAACTAGTTTACTATACGTTAATAACATTAGATTACACAAAGTAAACATAGCTTTACAGACAGACCAATGTAGGTTACACTACGGCAGCTGTGGGTTAGCCGCAGCCTTCCTAAGGATATTTGCGGTCAGAGGGTGATTCATCAGCAGGAGTAATCAGCAGCACTTCAGCAGCTCGACAATGCTGAATCCACCTATAGTCTGTAGCCTGGTAAAGCCACATCAGTTACTCTACAGGTGTTCTGAGATATTATAGTTTAATTCATTGAGCTTCGTAATTCACTAGTGGGTCAAGTGCTCATAATTAAGCCTATGTGTAAACATTGGGAGCTAATTAGTCTAGTGGTGGAGCACGGAGCTTCGGTGCTCGAGATCCCGGGCTCAAATCCCACCAATCACGAATGACGTTTATTCATATGATAATGCCGCGAATTTCTAAGCTAGTCTGAAGTAGTATGTAAAACAGTCCTGGACTAGAAATAGCGGGTTGTGTAAAAGTGGGACATTAAAAAATTTTTAAAAACTATTGAATACGAATTTTAGTTATTTTCAACTAAAGCTATATTTTACTATTTAGGGAAAAATAATTAGCGTGATAGTTTTAGTAATTTACGTAGTCTAATTTTAAGCCGAAGGAATTTCCCGTTGGTTATTTCACTAAAAGCAAACATTGGAGCTGGATAAGAGCCAGGTAAGGGCAACGAAATTTGTTTATTCAAGCGAAACAAATAATAACTGGTATTTATGTGTTATACACTTGCCAGGAATTTTACTTTTTTTACTCATATCTATTGTAATTATAATCATTTCAGCCGTGTAAAGTGGTTAAAGCAGATAGGAGAAGAAGCGAATTAAAATGGATTTAAGTTTAATGTTGTAATGTATAGAGTTATGAATGACTTGCATCTAATTGCACTTGTATGGCTAATATTTTAATAGGAGCCCAGTATAATATGTCATGTTGTATATACAATCATGTAGAAATTTACTTTCAGAGTCCACTCAGTATTCATAGAAACGAAATTATATTGATTCCTAAAAATATTTCCCCAGCAAAGTATTCAGGATAAACAATTCAAGGTAATTATTATGGTTGCTTTTAAGTTGGTTGGTTAAATTAAATGAATTAGCATTTAGTTGTGGTCAATCATTGTCCAACAACCCTTTTTAAGACGTGTGTATACCTTATGGGTAAAAATCCTTGTATTGACATTTTTATGATTACAAGCAAGAGTTCTTATATTAGTTAAAGTTAAGAAAAATAACATATACAACCTATGTTATAGACGTAAGATAACTGCAAGAAGAACTTAATATGAGTGAGATGACTCAAGTAGCTTCACTTACTGAGATCAGCTGTTGTTGTGCTAGGCTTAATTTCTAAAATCAACAATTCCAGAATGAATTGGTAACTTTCAGATTGTTATGCGAACACTATAATCACTCCGCTATAATTATGTGAATCCTTCTCGTAACTAAATCATTTAATGTGTTATTATGTTTAAAAACTTAACAAGTTTGATCTCTACAGTATTTTTACTACTATTGACCCCTTGATTGTCATTTTGGCAATTCCAATGCAGTTCAAAGTGTATCACTGGTATAGAACAAAGTGATTTATGTTTTCAATAACAGCAACAAATAAATCTGCACAGGATTGTATATCGATTCCTCCAAAACAACCCTCTCTGCTTCATATCTATGATCTCCATTAATAGACTTTTAACAGTTTTAAATGCATTACATTGTGTA